TTTTTTTAATTTTTTTTTTAAAAATATGGAACACTTCACGAATTTGCGTGTCATCCTTGCGCAGGGGCCATGCTAATCTTCTCTGTATCGTTCCAATTTTAGTATATGTGCTGCCGAAGCGAGCACAATATGCATTCTTAACAGTGGAACTATCTCGCCATCCAGTCCCCCTTTCAAAAAAAAGTTCATATTTCTTCCTTTCTCTTTCTTTCTTTCCTTCTTTCTTTTTCTTTACCTCCCTCTCTCCCTCCCTCCCTCCCTCCCCCTCTCTCTTTCTCTCTTTCTCTCCCTTTCTTTCTTTCTTTCTTTCTTTCTTTCTTTCTTTCTTTCTTTCTTTCTTTCTTTCTTTCTTTCTTTCTTTCTTTCTTTCTTTCTTTCTTTCTTTCTTTCTTTCTTTCTTTCTTTCTTTCTTTCTTTCTTTCTTTCTTTCTTTCTTTCTTTCTTTCTTTCTTTCTTTCTTTCTTTCTTTCTTTCTTTCTTTCTTTCTTTCTTTCTTTCTTTCTTTCTCTTTCTCTCCCTTTCTTTCTTTCTTTCTTTCTTTCTTTCTTTCTTTCTTTCTTTCTTTCTTTCTTTCTTTCTTTCTTTCTTTCTTTTCTTTCCAGACAGGGTCTCACTATGCAGTCTTAGCTAGTCTGGAATTCAACTCACTACGTAGACCAGGTTGGCCTCAAACTCACAGAGATCCACCTGCCTTTGTCTCCTGAGTGCTAGGATTAAAGGTATGTGCTGCCACATCCAGCCTTTTTAAAAATTTAATTTATATAACATCTTTCTTTATTATTTATGTGTGCATGCACATGTGTTCATGCATGCCACATGTGGAGGTCAGAGGACAACTTGTGGAATTGGTTCTCTCCTTCCACCATGTGGGTTCCAAGAATCAAACTCAGGCTGTTAGGCTTGAGAGCAAGCACCTTACCCACTAAGCTGTCTCGCTGGCTACCATGCTTAGCTTTAATTGTCACATATTAACTAAACCCTCATTGTGTAGACCAGACTGACTTCCAACTCACCTGCCTCTGCCTCCAGAGTGCTGGAATTAAAGGCATGTACAACCAAGCCTGGTTTAACAAAACGTTTGAAAAGATATTTTATTATCTTATGTGTGTGAGTGTTTTGCTGTATGTAAGTACACCACATGCACGCAGTGTCTGTGGAGACCAGAGGAGGGTGTTGACTCCCCTGGAACTTGAGTTACAGATGGTTGCTGGCCACCAAGTAGCTGGGAACTGAACCTGGGTCCTCTGTAAGAGCAGCCAGTGTTCCAAACTGATGAGCCATCTCCCCAGTCCCATCAATAACAAAATCTTTTTTATTTTATTATTATTTTTAAATTTTTATTTATTTATTTGTTTGTTTTATGTGTATGTGTGTATTGCCTGCATGTAGGTAAGTGCACCCGTGTGGTGCAATACCCACAGAGGTCAGAAGAGGCTGTCAGAGCCCCTGGGACTGGAGTTACGGACAGTTATTAGCTGCCATGTGGGTGCTGGATTCAAACCTTGGTCTTCTGCAAGAACAATCAGTGTTCTTAACCGCTGAGCCATCTCTATATGTATGTGTGTATTGCCTGCATGCATATAAGTGCACCCGTGTGTGCAGTGCCCATGGAGGACAGTAGAGGCCGTTGGATCCCCTGGAACTGCAGTTTCAAACAGTTGTTAGCTGCTATGTGGGTGCTGGGATTCAAACCCAGGTCTTCGGCAACAGACAGTGTTCTTAACAGCTGAGCCATCTCTCCAGCCTTCAATAACAAAATCTTAAAGAAGAGGAGGAGGAGGAGAGAGGGGGAAGGAGGACTTCTAATCATGAGAATTGGACTAGAGTTTGGATCCCAGCTCACACATAATAAGGCACAGATACCTCCAGCTCCAAGGGATCTGATACCA